ATTCTGACCCACAGCGCCCCTAGAGGACAGAGTGGAACTGCCCACAGGGTCTCCAAGGCTGTCAGTCTTCACGGAAGCAAAGCCCAAACCACATCCACTGCCTGGAGTCCATTCCGACCCACAGCGCCCCTAGAGGACAGAGTGGAACTGCCCACAGGGTCTCCAAGGCTGTCAGTCTTTATGGAAGCTGACCGCCCCATCTTTCTCCTGTGGAGCGGCTGTGGATTTGAACTGCTGGCTTCTCCATTGGCACCCGAGTGCCTACCCACTGTGCTGTGGAACAGACCTGAGCCATGGAAGCACCAGTGGTGGGAACACGGAAGGGGATGGGACACTGGAGACGGAGCAGGCAGGGTCTGTCACTGCTGCTCTGCCCTCTTTGCAGGGTGTTCACCGAAGGAGTCCAGCCTGGGAGGCAGAGAGGCCGCAGCCACAAACCCAGAATGACTCCCAGACCTGTAAGGCACTGGCTGAGCACGCTGACGGGAGCTGGAGGGACCACCTGCCACAGGCCATACCAGTCCAGTTTCACACCACAAGAGGGCAGCGGTACTCAGCCCCTCCACCTGATCCCCCAAAGTGGTCTTGGGCCTTGTTCTGGTTCCCTAGTGCCACTCTGACAGCAATATACCACCAATGGGATGGTCTTAACAAACAGGAGTTTATTCTCTTACAGTTGGAGGCGTTCAGTCCGAGTTCAAAGTGCCTGCTCTAGGGACTGGGTGAAAGCCCCCCGACCTTGGGGTCCAGCTCTGCCTCCAGCTCCCGGCCCGCTGGAGCTAGAGGCGTTTCTTCACTCAGCTGCTGGCTTCTGAGGCTGACAAGCCCAAGGTTGACAAGTAAAAAGGCACAGTCCCAATGTTACCAAACCACACGGCAGGCCATTCATTCAAGTCCATGAAAGTCCCAAGGTCAGCAGAGCATGGCAGGCTGCTGAACAATGACATGGCTACATGCAGGGTCCAAGCGTGCCATAGGCTGGAGACTGTTCCCAAAGCTTCTCCATATACACAGGAAGCAGACCCCATCCCTAAGGCAGCTACTCAGCTGCTCCCAGTAGATTCCACCATGGAGTTGATGACCAGTCTCACCACGGGGAACACCACATCCAGCTGCCCAGCCACTCAACCAGGCCCAGCCAAGGTGACTCACAAACGTAACTGCCACAGGCCTCCCCGGCCCCCCAGAGACACCTAGCCCGTTGCCTTCGAGTTGCCCCCGACTCCCAGCAGCCTGTGCCTGTCAGAGCAGGAGTGTGCTGTGGGCTTTTCCCGGCTGCTATCTTTACGGAAGGAGCTCTGGTAGCATAGTGGCTAAGACACTTGCCTGCTAACCAGAAGGCTGGCGGTTCAAACCCACCAGCCACTCCTCGGAAGGAAGGTTGGGCAATCCTACTTCCGTAGTGATACTGCCTCGGAAACCCAAGGAGGGGTCACTATGAGTCGGGGCTGACTCGACGGCACATAACAACAACAAATCTTTACGGAAGCAGGCAGCCAGGCCCTTCTGCGGCACGCTGGGTGCGTCTGAGCTGCCAACCTTTAGGTTAGTAGGTGAATGCAGGCCGTTGGTGCCGCCAGGACCGTGGGGCTGTCAGACACTGATGATGCACAAGTTGTGCTTCCGGAAAGACAGCAGCTGTTGTTTACTGAGCATGCAGTGTGTGTGTGCCGGCTGGTGGTTGCTAGGCAGGGAAGCTGTCCAGCCTCAGGCATCCTTGGGGGGGGGTGTCTGACAGGCAGAGGACACATGACGGCTGGGCATCTGGGGCTGACCTGAGTCACAGCCCACGCCTCCTCCACCGGGTTCCTGAAGCCACCGCAGGAAACGGTGGGCGCCTCCCAGTCCTGGGTTCATGTGCAGAGTTGTGCAAAGTCACCTGGTCTGACTGTGTAGAGGGGACAGCAGCTCATTCCTGCCCCTCCTCATTGATGGGAACAGGACGGCTTGGAGGAGACACCCTGACGCCTGGCTCCCCCTCTCTGATTTAGCCTCCCACGTGGATGGTGGGGACCTCGTAGCCCACCCGGTGGGCTGTGAGCAGCGCCCTCTGGGGTCTCCGGCCATGATGCCAGCGCCTGGCTCTGCAGGGGTCCCTCCCCCGAGCCCAGAGAGCCCTTACTTCCTGCATCCCCGCAACTGTATTAAAGGAGAGAGGAGGGGGCTGCGGGTGGGCCCGACCCCCAGAGGGCAGAGGGGGGAGCCGTAGGCAGACCCCCCAGAGGGCGGGGAGGGGTGGGGGAGCCTCAGGCATCATCTGCTGTTGTTACGGTTGTTGCCGCCCACCTTGTTGTCGCTGGGGGCGTGGTGCTGGGTGTCCCCTCCCCCTCTGCCCTCCGGGCAGGCTGTGCAGAGTGGTTTGCGGGGGCTGCTGGGACAGGCGACCACAGGTTTTGCGGCTGAAACAACTCGCAGTTCCTGCCGGCTGGTTCCGGGGATCCGCTGGGCTCAGGAGTCAAGTCCCTAACTGGCTCCTTTCTGTTGCAGTGTCGCAGCCGCAGGCGGCCCCCGGCGCCCTGGAGAAGCGGTCCACGGCCGTGCTGTGCAACACCTGCGGGAACGCGTGCAAGGGCGAGGTGCTGCGCGTGCAGCACAAGTACTTCCACCTCCAGTGCTTCGTCTGCAAGGGTGAGTGTGGGGGCGGTGCCGGTGCGCGCGCACCCAACTCAGGCTGCAGGGCTGCGCGCGCATCTCCAATGGCCGTGTCCCCGGGCCGGCGCAGCCCACGTGACCCATCCCAGGCTACGACGGGACAGCCCTGCAGGCATCCGTCCACGTCTGCGGCGCCACCTGCCCTGCACCCCCGCAGCGAGGCCGGCCTCCAAGGCGGTGCCCCGGATCTCAGCGCAGTCCGCCTTGCACCGCGGCCACGGGGCTGGCCTCTGCAGCACCTCTGGGGAGAAGTGATGGGCTCGGGGTTTCCGGAACATTCTCGGGGGCCAGAACCTTCGTGCTTTGTGTGAGCTTCTCAGTGTGGCCCGGGTACCCTGTGGGGGTGAGACAGCGGCCTGCGGGTCCTTGTGGGTTACCCCCAGGAATTCCCAGCCTGGGGCCAGCCACGTGGCCCCTGGGTGCCCCAGGGCCAGTGTTGGGGGCAGACACAGACGCAACGCAGCGGGGTGCCCACAACCCAGACGACCACAGACCGGGCCCCAGGGGCGAGAGGAGGAGCCCGCTCTGCCTCCGTGTCCTGGTGCTGCTACGGCGTCACAGGGGGCCTTGACGCGCTCACATTTATTTTCTCACGGTTCGGGTGGTGCAGGTCCCAATGCCGGCTGCCGGCTCCAGGGGCCAGCTCTCTGTGCGCTCGGGGCAGGTCCTGGTCTTGGCTTAGCGGCCTTCCGTGGTCGTCTCCCAGTGGCTGCATCCTGCCCTCCACTTGCAACTCTTTTCCTAGCTCAGAAGTGTGGGTTTAAGGCACACTGGTTAAGGCATTTGGCTGCTAACCAAATGCTGGCTCTAACCCACCAGCCGCTCCATGGAAAGAAGATGGGGCGGTCTGCTTCTGTGCCGATTCACAACCTTGGGAACCCCGTGAGGGCTGCTGTGAGTCGGAATCCACTGGTTGGCAGTAAGCTTGGTGGGGCTTTTTCTTTCCACACTGCTCTGGCCTGGTTAACACAAAGAAAACCCTGTTCTCAGATGGGGCCCATCCACCAGGACGGGGGTTAGAGTTTTAATAGCAGTTTTAGGGGCCACAGTTCAGTCCATAAGCTCCACTTGTCCTCTGGCCGCTAACCCGCGTATAAAGGACCTGTGAGAGTCCATTGTGCAGAGCGAGACGGAGAAGACATGGTAGAGCCCGGCTCTGCCCACCTGGCTCTCCTGCCTCCTGCTCACGCCCCTGTTGGACAGAGATAGGTGCCATTTGATCTCTGAAAACCAGAGGAGAAATGGGTGTGAACCCCCAGAGCTGGAGCATTTAAAGGGACGTTGTGGACGTGTTTTTCCCCTGAGCACCCGCGGCCTTGCTGCTTCCCTGTGGGGTGGACATGAGGTTCTCGGAGGCCATTTCTGGGGTCCCCATGTTGACCTCAGAGGCCCTCTGGGAGCCCTAGTGCTTGGGGTGGTGTTGGTTTATGAGCAAACAGATCGGAATGCACCCCGTGTGCGTGCTTACGAGCCGGGGTCTTTGTCAGACATGGGGTGGTCCTGTTGACATGAAGTGGCGTCCATGCCCCACAGGGGCCCGAGGGAGGACTGGGATGGCCCACAGCAGGCACAGTTCTCTGAAGAGGTGGCGTGGGTCCACCCACCAGCCAGAGAGGACCATCTGTCGCAGCCGGGACCAGGTGTTTGGAAGCCCTCCGCTGTGGGATGGTCGCGGGTATGATTGGAGCGTGGAACAGAGAGATGGTGGAAGTGGGCTGGGCCAGTGTGTGAGCCCTGCTTCCTTGGGGTGGGGCCAAGGCACCCTGCCTCTGTCTCACAGGGGCCGCTCCGACTTCCCGCTCAGCACCGTGCGCTGGATGAGTATGTGGGGTGGGCGTGGCGCGGAGGGCAGGTGGCGGAAGGCTACAGATGAGCACGTGGGCCGTGGGGGTGGCCGTGGGGGTGGCCGAGGGGGTGGCCGTGGGGGTGGCCGTGGGGGTGGCCGTGGGGGTGGTCGAGGGACAGTGGAGCCACTCTGGCTGTTCCACCTCTGCTCCCACCCCTCAGCCTTCACCCCTCTCTGCCCCAGGCCGGGGAGCCAGGGCGGCTTGGCTGATCCGGCTCACACGCAGAGACCACGTGGGGTCCCATGTGTGAAGAAAAGTTGGAACCACCTCTTGGTGGTGCCCAGAACTGACCCTGGCCCCGTGGCCCTAGGATCAGCATCCAGCAGTGAGGCCGCAGAGGCCAGGTCAACCAGCTCGTCTCCAATCCAGGGGCCCCGGAAGGACGTGACTCCACTTCTGATGGGGGGCCGGGGGGAGCACGTGGACCCTCGGCGTGAGGCTGAGGCCTCACAGAGCCAAGTCTCTGTCTTTGCTGTGGGCACATTGTGGTGTCACCAAGGGTCACTGGTGCCTGAGAACCTCCTGGCCCCACGGCTAGGCCCCAGGGCATTTTCCCACCAAGATGCCCCCTTCCCAGGCAGCTACCCCCTCCCTTCTCAGGCCAGCTGAGTCCCAGCCAGCAAAGGCCACGAGTCCCGGTCCTCCTTGAGGTGGGGACACCCAGGGACAGAGTGGGAACAGCAGGCCCAGGCATACCGGGGAAGGCCTGTTTCCAGGTCAGCACAGGTATGGGGCGTGGGGCACTGTGGACTGAAATACAACCCTCCTGCACTTGTAGTGTGACACCTGTGGTGTGACCGGCACCTGTGGTGTGACTGGCACCTGCGGTGTGACCCACACATGTAGTGTGACACCTGCAGTGTGACCTGCACTGGTGGTGTGACATCTTTGGTGTGACCCACACATGTGGTATGATCCCTGTGGTGTGCTCCACACCCATGGTGTGACACTTGTGGTGTGACCTGCGCCTGTGGCATGACACCTGTGGTGTCACCCTTTGGAAGTGGAGTCTCCTTCCTCTGCTGACTCAGATCCAGTCCATTCTAGTTATAGAAAGAGCAGGTTGGACAGAGATGAGCCCACAGAGAAGAGATGGCATGTGAGGACCACCCATAAGCCAAGGGACCCCCAGGGCTTCCAACAAGGCCCAGAACCATGTCGACAAGAATCAGATGTGAGCTGTCAGCCTCCAGAACTGAGTGACAGTAGCTGCTCTTTCAGCCCGCCCGTGTGGGTTTGTTATAGCAGTGCCCGAGGGCCGCGACGGGTGGAGGCGGCCGGCCCTCTGTGGACCCTCAGCAGCCACATGGCCCACTGCCCTTTCCCAGGGCCGTGTGCCCTGTCCCCTGCCTGGGGGTCCAGACGTAGGGCACCCTGGAAAGGAGGTGACTGGCCCTTCGGCCCCACGCCCCACCCGGTCAGCACATTTCCCTGCCTGGCCCTCTCCTCTGTCCACTGGGGCTGCCTGCTGTGTGTTGGGGCCTTCAGGCCCTGCCCTCTTTGTAAAGATGCATTCGCTGCATTTCTGAAAAGTGGACTCCATTGGGCGGCTCCCTTTAAAAGCTTGTCTGAAAAGGATTTCCGGAAGGCTATCTGTGGAACACCATGTAGTGCACTGGGCTTGGTGAATCGAGATCGGTGTAGGGTGGAACTGCCCTGAGCCCTCCTTGGAGGGTCCCCTGCACAGGCCACTGTGTGCTCTGAACCACAGTAACTGGGAATACAGTGGGAACAGTCGTCCCCCTCCCTCGCTGGCTGGCGGGTGGCTGAGGGACAGGGCAGCCACCGACCCCACCTGGGCCTGTGCCAGGTGCCAGGGTGGCCCTGGGGCCCTTGGTGGGCAGAGCCTTGCCTGTCCCACTGGGAACAGACTTCCTGGACCAGCCAGCGTGGCTCTCGAGCTCTGGGACAGCCTGCGCTGTGTGAGCCTGTTGACTGACAGTCTTGGCTTGGACTGTTATCCAGCACTCACGAGAGACAGTCTGAGTCCTCACCCCCACCTGTCAGTGTGTCACACTGCGGTGGCTTGAGGCTGGAGGCCGTGCCCCAGTATTTCACACACCGGCTGGTCACTGTGGTGACAGGCTTTAGCAGAGCCTCCAGACTGACACACTGGGAAGAAAGGGCTGGTGGTCTGTTCCCAAATCCACCCTGAAGGCCCTGTGGGTCCCCTGAGACCACTGGTCGGGGGGTGCAGGAAGGGGAACCCCTGTTGTGTGTAACGCCACCAGGAGCTGGCACTGACCTGACGGCAGCTACTCACAACATGAATCAATGAGGGCATTTCAGGACGCGAAGGAAACAAAACAGGAGATACGGGTTTGGGGGCTGTGCAGCTCGACCCCCTACAAGTAGTCAGGGCGGCCTCCCTGGAGGACGTGACCTCTGGGTGAAGGCGAGGAGGAGGGGAGGGAGATGGTCATGTACGTGTCTGGGGGAGGAGCGTTCCAGCCAGGGGCCAGGCCTCAAAGCCAGGAAGGAGCCTGATGTGTTCAGGGACCAGCAGAGGCCACGTGGCTGCAGCCAGCAAGCAAATGGAGGAAGGGCAGAGAGAGGTGAGGCCGGGTGGGCGCAGGAGGTGGAGCCCACACTTGCTGGGGTGGACGCGGGCCTCCACAGTGAGGGAGGCCAAGCGCAGGGGGAGGGACTGGTCCGCTGAGGCTTCCGTGGGTCCCTGGACACTGCACTGGAGTCAGGAGGCAGCCGAGTGATGCTGGGGGCTACGACGGGGCGGAGGCCGCGTTCTGGATACAGTGGAAATCCAGCTGGGTCACTCTTTTTTTTTTTTTTTTAATTTTATTGTGATGTGGGTGCAAGTTTACACAGCAAATTCACTTTCCATACAGCAGCTCACACACATGTTGTCTCATGACATTGACCACAGTTTACCACAATGCAACAGCTCCCCTCCCACTTCCTCCCCATAGTCACCTCTTCCCAGTGCCCATCCCTCCATGCACTCCTGCCCCCTGAGCTGTCTCCCTGTGCATAAGCAGCCCTTCTTTCTCCCATGATTGTTCTCTCCAAGGAATGTATCTACCTCAGGTTCATGTTCAACTCACATGCCTGTCTTCTGTTTGGCTGGAAACCACAGGTGTGAGTTCAATTCCAGACCTGAAGGGCAGCTAGGGGCCATAGTCTCAGTGATTCCACCAGGCTCTATCAGACCAGCAAACCTGGTCCCTTTTTTTTTTTTTTTTTTGATGATTTTGAGTTTTGTTCCACATTGTTCTCCCTCTCTATCCAGGATCTCCTACACAGATCCCCCTGTGAGTGGTTGACAGTAGTAGCCGGGCACCATCTAGCTCTAGTCTCATGGTCGTATAGGCTGAGGATCGCATGGTGTACCAGTCACTTGGACTAATCGTTTCCATGCGTCTTTGGTTTTCTTTTTCTTTGCTCTGGACAAGGAGAGACCCATCGTTGCATCTAGATGGCCACTTGCAAGCTTTTAATATCCCAGTCTCTACTCACCAAAGTGTAGGATGTGGAATAATGTTTTGTGTAGTATGCTATGCCAGTTGAGCTTGATGTCCCCTGAGACTATGGTCCTGAGTCCACAGGTCTAACAACTCGCTCCCTCCGGTTTGCTCTTCATGCTGCAAAGTGGGAGTGAGCGTAGGACGTGGGTGTCAGACAGCTGTCACAGTGGCACAGGACGGGGCCGATGTGACCGTGAGAAACATCAACCACGGAATAACCACAGGGCGTCATGTAGAGCAACCCTGGCCAACCAGGTGTCTCCAACTCACAGCCACCCTGCGTGTGACGGAGGACAAGCGCCCCGTAGGGTTTCCTTGGCTGTAATGTCTACAGGAGCTCACCAGGCCTTTCTCCCGTGATTCCTCTGTGTGGTTTTGATCCACCAACCTTTAGGCTAGCAGCCCACTGCAAACTGTACAACACAGAGCCCAGAACACAGCAGGCCTCAAAACATGAAAGCTGGTACCATTGTTTATACGCAGTTTGAAATTTGCCTAGAAAATGAGTCAAGTCCTCTTGGCTTTTCCGGGTGACCCAGTTCTGTGTCTCTAGATTACGCTTCTCTCCTCCAGATGCCGCGTTTAAACGTGATCTTTCAGGGCCCCATTAGGAATGTTCTGGAAGTCCAGGCCGACTCTGAGATGGACGGCCCCACCCACGTGTGACCTGGAGACCAGGCGTGTTCTCATCTCATCAATGACCACTTGGAAGGGCCAAGGAAACAGCAGGGTGGGGTGAGGCGGGTGCCCAGGGAGGAAGAGCCTGGTGTAGCTGGTCACACGGGTGCAGTGACCAGGGGCACCCCTAGCTGTCGGGTGGTGCAGTGGTTAAAGCACTTGGCAGCTAACCAGAAAGATTGGTAGTTCTAATCCACCAGCCGCCCCGAAGGAGAAAGATGAGGCAGTCAGCTTCCCTGAAGACTGACAGCCTTGGAGACCCTGTGGGCAGTTCCACTCTGTCCTCTAGGGGTGCTGTGGGTCAGAATGGACTCCAGGCAATGGGTGTGGTTTG